ATCATACCTAGTGGTTTCGTTGCTTTTTGTACACAAGCGTTTCTAAAACGCGCTCGACTGCGCTCGACTTGATTATTCGCACAATCGCGGTTCATTGATTGCACGTGCACACTAAATTTACTAATTACTAATTTGTACAAAATAGTACAATTTAGTATTAGTAAAGTTTCACGCTTTTACTAAATGCACTCTAGTATGACATGTATAACACAACGCTGTTTAGTAGTGGAAATAAACGCAGAGCCTGCGATTACAGGGATGACACCTTAAGGGAGCCGGAGACTTAAAAGAAATCATTCTTTTCTGTGAAAGTCCCTGAACAAAACCGTCAAAGTGGATTGACACACAGCAATCACATCACATATTTCGATGTCGTTTTCCAATGCATGGCATGCAAATGCCTACTTTATCAACTGGTATTTTCGAAAGTTCACCTGAACTAAGTACTACATGTAACCAATCCGTTCTTCCAGGTATCCCAGTCTACCCTGCCCACAGGGTCTTGCCTTATATTATATTATGTTATATTTTTTTTCTTTCTCTTTCATAATTTCATCTCCTTGAATAGCCTTTATAGACTTTCAGTACATTAACCTAATTATTTCTTTTTGTCTATGCTGATTCCTTTCAATGTCTTTTTTTTCTCGTTATTTTTAGTTTGACGATTGTCGTTGTTTAATTTTTTATTTTTCATTTGCTTTGTTGTTGTTGTTAGTTGTTGTGTTGTTTTTTTTTTCGTTGTTTAAGTTTTTTGTTGTTTTTATTTTCGTTTTTGTTTGGTTGTTCGTTTGTTCTTGTTTTATGATGTATATTTAGTGTATTTTGTTTATTTGTTGTTGTTTTTTATAGCGCAAAATCAACCAAAAATTTTATTAGAATTCCAATTGCAAACGATGGCTGAAATATTCAATAAAAAAGTTTCAAAGTTATGTCGTTATGTTATCCATTAATAAATGATTAGAGCCAGTATTAACCGAAGCTGATTGTAACCAACATTGAAATCGTTTGCAAACACTGTCTTCCTCATTGTTGTTTAACATTAATACTGCACTTTCGAGAACGTTTTTATTACTGTTAATGCTCCCAACCCGTTAGAGTAATAACATTCACAGCAAGATAGTTTGTGGGGTAATGCGGTATGGGAATCAAGTGGTTCCAATCGCAATCACAGCAATTAGCATACTGGTCATGCCTGGCAAAAAGAGGTAATAATCCTCTCTCAATCTTGGGGTAAAGATCCCCTAGGCCGCAGAGGGGTCATAATCCCCTCCTGGGTAAAAATCCCCAAAAGTGACCAGTATGGGAGCACTTAATGAATGAAGTGGCTCAAATTGCAATCACAGGATTAGCATACTGGCCATGCCTGGCAAAAAGAGGTAATAGTCCTCTCTCATTCTAGGGGTAAAGATTGCCTAGGCCGTGGGGGCCATAATCCCCCCCAGGGTAATTATAACCAGAATTAGCTTTGGTTTCCTTGGTGACGGATATATAGGGGTTATAATCCCCAAGAATATACTCAACTATGAGTGTATGGGCAAATAGTGAATTTCTGGTGTAGCGATAGCTCTTTGAACCAGAATATGATCTGTCTTAACCCACGCGGAGAATATATATAAAGCTTTAATAARCTGTCACGCGTAAACCGATGTGATTAATTGGCCGATAAGTAGTGTAAACATGTCAACCGTGTATTGTCCTTAAAGAGTATAGCATTACAGTCTGTTTATCGTGTCACAAAGCTGATTTGTTTGATACTATTTACAATTCCATTCATTCCTTAAATTGCAAGGTCAATCAATGAAGTTAATGATTGAGGCATTAACTTTAATTTATATAGATATGAATTTGCTTTTTTATTGCTACACCCTGATCGAGACACAGGTTTCCCATTTGTTTTCTCTCTTAATGAAAATCCTCATTCAAAACGCCYTTCTGGAAACAGCCTCTAACAACCTACAATTTCCTCAAAACCACTCAAATAAGGTTTATTAGTTGTAGAACTTTTATTTTCAAACATTGATTTTTTTTAGGATAAATAAAAGCTAGTTCTCTCAGAACCTTTTTTCTAGGTCCTCTATGTCTTCGTTTTTCCACAGGAACCCCGTTGCCACCGTATAAAGCTATAGGCTGGGAAACGTGATCGAGACAATAGTCGCAACAGGGAATAATTCTAACAATAGTCTACTGTCAATCAAACAAATTGTTCGGTACCTTTACCTGATTTACGTCATGGACCGAGTCTGCCTTCATGTGAAGTCAGAGGTAACTTCAGTATATAGTTGTTTTTATCGTCTACGACTTGCTATTTTTTGCAACATTTTCATATTCGCAAAGGAAAGATCATTCCTACATTCCAGAGGCTACATTCTTATATCTTTGTTTGAATAATTATTTTACTTGAGCTAAGRAATACAGAAGATTTAAAGTGGAACAACTACTTTGGCTTCACTGACGTCAATTTACGTCATTCTCAACCAAGTAAATACCTGGAACTCAAGGAAGTGGAAGAGACGTTCACGTCGTTCATTCAAGCAAACCCAAAATATAACCAATTCTCTATGAATGTATGACCTACGAATTTAYGTAGCTACGAGTTTAATCGACTCAAAGGCCCGTAGCCAGAATTTTGTGGTTCCCCAATCCCCCACGAAAAAATAACGATAAGATGAACGCCTGCCTGCCCAGGCTAAACCTGTGGCTACGGTCCTAACTCAGACTTACGTTCGTCACGACAGAGAACCTCAGTAATATAGGAAAACAAACCTCATAATCATCAGGATGCCAAACAAAAAAAGACCAAGCAAGCAAAAAGGAAAGGTTAGCAATAAAATCAAAATTTATATTATCCCCTGAGATAATGTCTTATATAATCAGCAATAATGCTGTTGTTTTGAAAGCTTCAGTACTTCTTCAGTGGCGTTTGCCAGTACTTCCGCCATAAGTTCAATCCTTTATAAACTACTTTAGACCTCTCAATTATTTTCTATCGCAAAACAATACATCTTTCCTTTAGTGTTCCACTATAATGAAGGCCASGATGACTGATCAATTAAAACCTTTGCTATTGTGCTGAGCTTCTCATACCAAATTGATAATAAATGCATGAGTATTAACTGAAATCGCATTTCAAGATTTCCTCTAGGCGCTTGACGAGAAGTCAAATATATAAGCGAGAGATAAAATGAAGTTACTAAGTAGTAAATGAAAAGAAGAATTATTACTTATTGAATGCTATTTTAAACAAATGAGTTTTAAGAGATGACGTGAAAGACAGACAACTTTTCACTTCTTGATCAGTAGTGTTCTGCCACGGTACTTTGGCCATAAGTTCAATCCTTCAAAAGCTACTTTGAATATTCRATATTTCACTATTATTTTCTATGGCAAACTGATATATCTTTCCTTCAGTATTCCGCTACAATGAAGGCTACGATCACTAAGCAAAAACCTTTGCTATTGTACTGAGCTGCTCATAGCAAAATAATAATAAATGCATGAGTATTTAACTGAAATCGCATTTCCAGATAAGCTCAGATATCCTCTAGTCGCTTGCCGAGAAGTCGAATATAACAAGAGAAATAAAGTTACAGACAGCAGTAAAAAAAGAAGAGTTCTTACTTATGTAATGCTAATTTTAAAAAATTGAGTTTTAAGAGATGACTTGAAAGACAGACTTTTCACAGTAAGAGTTGTTATTGAAGACGGAAGAGAGTTCCAGATTTCATAAGCAGACGCGGATTTTTCAGCCATCTCAGTAAAATAAACATTAAGGATAATACTGCAAAACAGCATTTTTTATAATCCAAAATAGAATAATAATTAGACTATTTCTCTTTTTCCTAGAATTCTAGGCTTTTTATCGATGGTTTTTGAAAGTGTATATATCTGGTTTGCCGTAGGATTTTCTAGATATTAGGGACTTTAAGATTCTCAAAATCTGCGACGGCGACGTCAACCGGAAGTGTTAATAACTTCTCTTTAGGGTTCTGTTCATTGGAGATTTCATTCAAAACATTGTCAGTAAAGTCAACTCATCGACAGGGAAGACAGATCTTAAACAGACTCGAAATCCAAAGTGCAGTAATTTACACTTCCGGTAGACATCGCCGTCGCAGATTTTGCGAATCTTAAAGTCCCTAATATTAGTAATAATGAGTTRAATTGTGTAGTTGTTAATGTTATTGTTATCCGCGCGTGACCTCCGTCGTGTCGAACCTAGTAGACAAGCGAGCAGTTGTGTTAAGTTCGTCATAACAACCAACATTTAAGTTAGTGGTGGAGTGAAGTGGCGTGAAATTATTTAAGGTGATTGCCTACTTTTGGAAAACGATTTAAACTTTTTAAAAAATCGATTTCCGAATTGAAATTTCATGCTGATTCCAAATCTGAAAACAAAAATTGGGTCCCCCGAGCTTGTTTTCGAGATAATCAGCATTTAATGGAAGCCTACGCGCGAGCTTTTGGGGCAAAACTTGCGCCACCGGAAGTGATGAGAAAAAACTTAAGATTCATAAGATGATAGTTATTTGCAGACTATATGATTGCACGAATGACGGCTAGTCAATCATTCTACAATAATAAATGGATATTTTTGACAAAAAGACAACAGAAAAAATCTGTTAACATTTCAAGGTCAGCTACGATTTCAAGCTCACGCCCCCTCATGTGAGCCCATACAAATTATGTCTCAAAAACACGGTTTTTGGATCTTTTCTCAAAATAATGACTATCTAGGCAAAAAAACAGAAGTGGAATCAGTTAATTCAACTATTCACGGACTGTATTATATGATTTAGAATGAATTCTATTGAAAAAAACCACCGTACGTTTTGAGTTGAATGTACGCTATTGGACGTATTTTACAAGAGAAAATGCATGACATAACCGGGGTCAAGCAAGAAAATCGTCTCTCCTTGCTATAAAACAGAACCTGTCAAAAAAAACAGAAGTGGATTTGAAAATCCCGGGCTTTCCTGAACATTTTGGTATGTATATATGTATTCATACCATGTGATGCTACTTTTGGAAGTTGATTATTTCATGTGTAAATATTTCAAAATGTTCGAAAAAAAAAAAAAAAAAAATTCTCAAGGGCATGTCATATGATCTAAAATGGGCAATATGCATACGAAGCTAAATAGGTCTATTAGCATTTCTTTATTTCCCAAGAAATTTAGTACTATTACTATTACCAGTACTCTTGTTTCTTTGGTTTGTGAATCATGACTTGAAACACACAAGTAATGAATAGTCCTCTTAACAGTTCCTTGCACCATCTTGAAAGGGAGCCGTGCCTTTGCATCGAAGCAAAACGAACGGTGAGCTTGCAGTGATAGAGGCATGTGAATAAAAGACCWCTTTAGCTTGGGCGTAATGTTTTCTCATTTCATACCACGTGTCATTCCAAGTTGTGCATGAGAAGTCCTATTAATATTGATACAACTCAAACAAAGAATCTTATCCTCAAGAAAATGACACTTGGCCTGAAATGGGAAAACATTACGACCAAGCAAAAGAGGTATATAGTTTAAGGTGTTAAAGAGCCATCTATCATTGCAGGCTCGCCGTTAACGTTCGTCTTGCTTCAATGCAAATCCACGGCTACCTTTCAAGATGGCGCAGGGAACTTTGAAATGGACTATTGAAGTACCGAATTGGTTGTACAAGCTGAAAAAGAGAGCTACTTATGAAGATCCCYAAAACGACATATCATTCGACGACAAAGCACATATTATAGCGAATATTATTTTTWAATAAATTGAGCAATTGTGTTCCTCTCAATAAACAATGTATTTATATATTTTTAATACAATTACAAAACAGCTCAAATTCTTGGGAGACGAAGAAGAACCCAAGAGCTTGCGCAACAATACGGTGCATCCCACATGTGTCATAGCAGGAGAAGACATAGTAGAACATGCTGTTATCGGCGAAGGTTTCTATGCAACAGTAAAAGTTGGAAGCTGGACACGTCATGACAAGAAAGAGGTAGCTAATTAATATTAAACATGCTATAGCATAAGAAAACAGGAGAACCCGGAGAAAAAACGCCAAAGCACAGGATAGAAGTACCCGAAGCATCTCTACTCATGTAAAGCAGTTTTCGTATGACGGGGAAAAGGTCGGTGCCGTATATGCGTCCCTTGCCACGACTGTGATGCTTTCTAGAATTTTTTTTCTCGCGCAATGTGATTCGTCTGGCAGTTCCATGACATTGGCGTGACCGTGTCCTACCCGTGTCCATGCCGTGTTTCGGGCATTTGATTGGATGGAGAGTAAATTCTCGTGCAATGCGATTTGGCTGGCGTTTGAATTACAGAGTGACCACAGTCGTGGGAGGTAACGAATTAGGTAGCGAGGTAACGAGCATTTTCAGTGCATTTCGTTCTACTTTATATTCCACCTTACAGTTCCAATAACTAGGAAGGACTATCTATCTAGAACTCTAACATTTATGTCTCCGAATCAGCAAAAATTAATAAATGATATGGCTTGCTTGCCTCCTAGGAAAAGGTGGCCATCAAATGCATCAAAGAAGAGGTGGTCAGAGATCATCTGGGAGAAATTCTAACAGAAGCAAATAACATGGTCAAACTAGAACACGACAATGTGATAAAACTGTATGGGATATGTCTAGTAACGAGGGAGAATGAACAATGCAAAGTAAAACTGGTAAATATRACGCATTAGTGTTTTGTCTAGCTGACGCTAATTCTGTCTTTCTCGCAATGTTCTTTTTATTTATGACACCCAGTTGGCTCGGTTGAGGGTTATACATTACAGGGGTGGATCTATCTAGGATTTAATCTTAAGCACCAGTAACGCAGTAGTACGTCAGCTACTTTAGAGGAGGGTTGTGCATTATAAGGTCTTGATATCCTCAAAAGAGTTTTAACCTTTTTGAATTACGAAAAGAGATTTCGAAGAGGATAGTGGTATAATTAGGTATGAAACGTCATTACTTAGTGCTAGGGTCTGTCCCCAGCCGCAAAAACACTCTGAATAACCGTATTGTGCCATTGTATTGACTAGCCTCCCTTATATGTGAAAACGCTTTTGTGTATCTACGTGAATACGAGGCTACACAGTCAAGAAAAATATTTATTCATTTTACGGTTATTYGTACTTTATATTATTCATAGTTCCGACCTAGAAAATAACGAACCAATCACCGTTGCAGCAGTTTTCCCAATGGAATTAAAATCTTGTCCCACAAACAACTACAAGGACTATGAGGCAATTTTAATTTATTTTCTCAGGACATAAAACAATTGAAGCATGTTATGATATATTTTACGCGATCAGAGTTTTAAATTTGGAGATATCTTAGCTAACTTGTTAAGCTCGTGGGACATAGCAACGGTAACTAAGGGAGTCAGAACTATTAATTGAAGATTACAGGTAGGCTGGGCTCTTRTAACAACATGGCCAATTTAAAAAAATCAAACAAATTTGTAAATTTAGATATTTYCATTTTAGTATCAATCCATTCAAGGTTCACTTTAAAAGTATGAATACAAATGCTCATACTTATATTTGATCCTGTTTTGTCTCCAGGTAACAGAATACGCACCTTTTGGACCTCTTGTCGCGGTTATTCAAGATAAAGATGAGGAACAACGCAGGTTTTTCTGTCAAGTAACAAAACTATTAGAATTTGCCAGTCAAATCGCGAAAGGAATGCAGTACTTGCACAGTAAAAACCTGATTCACTTTGATCTGGCTGCACGTAATGTACTTGTAGTAGCACCGAACAAGGTAAATGATCAGAATGTCCATATCATATCCATGTGTGGAAACCAGAAAAGACGTTTGCAACTAAACTGGTGATTTTCATCGTTCATTATACTGTTGGGTTTCCTGTGGATTTGGCAGAAAGTTTTGCGCCAAACGTGCGCGCGCAGACGGGAGAGCATACCTAGCAAGCAGTTGATATAATGTATTGATTAAAGTACAATGAATTACACCTAATACAATAGACAGAACGAGAATAAAATGYAATAGATTTCCTGAATACATCAACTAAGTGCTAGGTAGGATCTCCCGTAGATATAAATGAAATAATCACACCAGATTTTAAATTGAAAATATCATTCAAAAAAGAAAACACTACAAATAACTTATTCTTAATTATTTYATATTATGATCATTAAAACATTCATCAAGTCGTTAGAATCGTAAATAATAGATCATTTGTTGCAATTCTCATGCAACATTCTATAAGGGTGGTTTTCATATTAGAACATGATGATTAAGCTTACTTGATTTCAATTCCATTTTTGGATGTATTTATGTTGTTTTAGGTTAGAATCAGTGACTTTGGGTTAGCAAGAGTCCTTTGTCAAGATGAGAAGAAGATATTATTAGAAAAGCCGATAGCTGTTGCATGGTATGGACTASATTTCTTGGATGAGATATGTAGTACTAAATACATTTGCACGCCGAAATGTGAAATGTTTTTTAAAAAAGTGACTTTATTTAATTGCAATTGTAATATTAGACGAATTTTGCCTTTTGAGTGGCGTCAATTTCACGTTCGTTGATAAACAAAAAGAATCTCATAATAAATTTTTCCTTCTTTCCTTCTTCCGTTCCTTCGTGCGTTCGTTTGTCCCTTCTTTATTTTTCTTTTTTTACATCTTCCCTTCTATCTCTCTCTAGTTTTCCTTTCTGTTTTTTTTTTTTTTTTTTTTGTAATTTCTAAACAGCGCTATTCTTTATTAGGTGTGCACCAGAGCTGTTCAAGAACCAACTTGCAACTAAAGGGTGCGATGTTTGGAGTTACGGTGTGTTGTTGTGGGAATTATTGTCATTCGGAGAGAAACCTTGGAAAGATCTCTCTATTGAGCAGGTAAGACGTCACTATACATCATACAAGGCTACCTACTTTTTCATCTTCGAAGACCAAGGTGGCCATGTTGGTGCTATTTAACAAAATATTTCTCATTAGCATGCAYTGTTAATAGGCCCTTTGCAGCTAAGCAATCACGTGCTGATTAATTCACTGAGAGCAAATGAATTAACATTTTGATTCCCAAGGGTGAAATTTACTGGAGTGCAAACAAAATTTCTACAACCTGTTTCGAGAGATTGTAATAAAGCTACATTTCGTAACACACTGGATACACATGTTTTCATTCAGTTCTTTGCAAGTARCTAAAAAGTATCACCATTTTAATATAAAAATAAAAATTTTGCATTCCAGTACACACGTGACCGTTAACTGCAAAGGGCCACAACCATCGATACGCCTGAGACCTATTGAGATAATGCTCTTTTTATGTTTTCTGTAATGGCTCTTTTCTTGCACAAATGCATTATTTAGCATACATGCAAATTGTAGTGCATTTGTTGAACATATTAATTCTATAACTTATAGACTCACTTCAAGAGGTGGCAGGYACCGGGTAATAAACCCAACCCTCCCATCTTCATCGTTTTCCGTATGATCATAATAGAGAGTTTAAGATTCTCGTTTATGCCAAACGTGAAACGTCAGTTGACCATTAAAAAATTCTTTAAAATTAGTGAAAAGGAATCGCAATGATCTCCAAGTAGTAGATAAACGAAAGAATACTTGTCTTTGTCGAGAAGGTTTGCAAAAGGTAAAGTGAATGAAAACGTGGTCACGTTTGCCGTTTGCGGGAAGGAAACACGGAAATCTTAATATACCTCTTACCGCTAGAATTCAGGCCCAGAATCACGCCCGCGAACACGGAGAAACCCTCAGCTCATTGAAATTCAATATGGCGGCTCCTCAACAACAACATGACGCCTTGCTATGTC